GGTGCTGACAACACCAAGTCAAGGGTTAAGATCCCCTTACCAGTCATCTTTTTAAAAAAATAAAATAAAATAAAGAGTTATGGTGGGGAAAGGGCCATGGCTGCTGGTGCAGAGGAGGAAATGGGGCTTCTAGAAGAGTCTTGAGCCTGCCCAGGAAGTGCTTGCACTCCTGTGATGAGAGCTGATGCTCATGAAACTGACACTGCGTTTCCCTGTAGACGATGCTTCGGGAGATGGGGAGCTGGACCTCAGCGGCATTGATGACCTTGAGATCGACAGAGTAAGTGCCATATGCCCCTAGCTGGGCTTTTGTGGGTGCTGCAGCCCAGAGCCCATCGCTTGCCTGTGATTTCCTCTTGGCCTCCCCAGATGCTCCCTGGCAGGAAGGTGGTCTCTCAGTGTACTCATTGCCTTCCACTGGCCCCAGGCCCTGCCCCCTAGACTCCCTCATCCATCTTCAGCTCCAGGGTGACCTTGGCCACCTCATGCTTTTCCTGCTGGAAGCCAGAAACATCCTTGGGCTTGTGCCCGTGTCGGGAGGCCTCAGCCCTGCACCTGGCCTTTGCACTATCTGGGCATGTGGCCTGTGGCAAACGTGAATCCAGCCTGGGTTGTTCTCATCCAACCATCTCCAGTCATAGAAGGGCGCCTGCTGGGTCCAAGTATGTCATGCACCTCCATAGTGCAAATTCCAGGAGTGTTGGCCTGTGGGCTGGTTTTTGTGTTGGTCTCAGCAGTGCTTGTCCACACAGTGCCTGGGACTGCCTGTTTGCTCCTACGTTGACAACTAATGCCCTCGGCTGGGTCCCTCCATGGGGCCCTGTGTCCCTGCCCTCTGGCTGGCCGGGGGCCCCATGCTGTTCTTGACAACTCAGCCTAAGCTCAGTTTCCACTCTTGACTAGAGGCCTCCCCACGTTTCCCCTTCCTTGAATGATGTGAGCATGCAAGAGGGAGGTGTGTTCGTTGGGGAGCGTGGTCTTAGTGTGCCCTCGGCGTGGAGACTGAGCGTTAAGAGCGCTTTGCTATGCTTTGCCCAGTACATCCTGGATGAAGCGGAAGCCCGTGTGAAGGCTGAGCTGTGGATGAAGGAGAACGCAGAGTACCTACGGGAGCAGAGGGGTAAGCGCCCGCCCACCCGCCTGCACAGGCACTGGCGCCTGGGGCCCTCACTGACGCCAGCCACTGTGTCTGACTTTTAGAGAAAGAAGCGAGAATAGCAAAGGAGAAGGAGCTCGGCATCTACAAGGAGCACAAGGTAGGCGCCTGCGTGTGATGCGCCGAGATGCCGGCCTTTTCCATGGAGCGTCCAGGTGTGCAGGAGGAATGCATTCCTGGAATGCCCCTTCCCCTGGGATGAGAGGGGCTGGGGGGCCGAGACAGGTGATGGGAGACCATGAGCTCCAGACCCCACACCCACGTCCCAGGCCGTCAGTCCTCCCTTGTGCTGGCTGCATGCAGCTCGATGTCGGCTTCACTGTGGGTGGACGTGTTGCTCAGCTTTGGGGCAAAGCTCTGACCCAGGCCCCAAGGCAGACTGTGTTGAGACCCGGGGCTGGGTGCTGAGGGCCCGGGACTTGAGTCCTGTGTCAGGGATATGAGAGGCCTCCACTGCTGTGATGGGTCCCTTTTTCTCCTGATGACCTGGGAAGGTCCGGTTGTGGCTCCTTCTCTGCCCTGTTGGCTGTCCAGGTAACTTGGCTCAGCCGCTTGCTCCATGGTTGGAACAGTGACTTTGGCCATGTGAACAATTTGGAAGTGGATGAGCCTCTGAATGACTGAGGTGGGTCCACTGCCGGTGAGGTTGCAAACCTCTCAGGACCAAGGTGGAGCAGCCCTAGAGCTTGGGGTCGGGGACTCCCCCGACCCAGCAGCATGGTTCACTCTGCTGAGTGCCTTTGTTTTCTCTCCCCAATGGGACTGCGCTGGGAAGGTTGGGGTGCAGGATGTGAGGTGGGAGGTGGCATGGCTAACTTTGCTGGGGGGCCATGGTCAGCTGCTGGGGCCTGGCACTGGCTACCTGCCCTGAGAGGGTCTGCAGCTCCTGCTCCCAGGACGAGGTCTGGGGTCTGAATGAGGCTGGGGCCTTTGAGCTGGGCCTGGACATTGGGGTGGATTGTCTGTTTCATTCCGGATAATGTTCCTGCTGCATTCTTCTCTGCTATGCTGGTGCAGCCTTGCCCTGTGTGGGACTTGGTGCAGCCAGGCATCTGAGTGGTGGGCTTGTGAGCAGATTTGCTGCTGTCATGGCTCAGTGGCCCCTCCAATTCCTGGGCTGGTTGTGCACTCTGGGGACTTGCTCCCAGCTGATCTCTGGGAGCTTCCCTGGCTGCCCTGTGTGGGACTTGGTGCAGCCAGGCATCTGAGTGGTGGGCTTGTGAGCAGATTTGCTGCTGTCATGGCTCAGTGGCCCCTCCAGTTCCTGGGCTGGTTGTGCACTCTGGGGACTTGCTCCCAGCTGATCTCTGGGAGCTTCCCTGGGTGCGCACTCACCTGGGAGGCTAAGATTTGATTTGGATGGACTAGGCCGGCTTCCACATTCTGAGAGCAGGAGGTGAGAGCAGCTCTTCTGGGGGGCTGGGCCAGGACCACTGCCCCATCCCGCTCACCTCTGCTTTTTGAGGACACCCTAATTGCTGAGTACTACCCTCCCACTCCCACCCAGTAGATGCCAAGCAGGTTTGTAGGTCCATGACTCACAGGAGGCATTGCTTTTGTGTTTCAATCAAGCCCAAGAAGTCTTGCAAGCGACGGGAGCCGATTCAGGCCAGCACAGCCGGGGAGGCCATCGAGAAGATGCTGGAGCAGAAGAAAATCTCCAGCAAAATCAACTATAGTGTGCTCCGGGACCTCAACAGCACGGGTGGGGACAGCCCACAGAGGGAGGGCGTGCGGCCCGAGGCAAGGGGCAGCACCAGGAGGCTGTCTCGAAGAAGGACACGAGCCAGCAGGAACAGGGCTGACCCCGTGACCAGTGTGGGGAAAAGGTACCATCCCATCCCACTGGGCTGGGCTCAGGGTGGGAGACTGGTACAGGCAGAGGAGTGAGGACTCATTGTGGAGGCTGCTGTGGGCCAGGGGTCCACAGGAGTGCATGCTAGGAGAAGAGCCAGCCGCAACCCTGGGGCCTCTCTGTGCACCCCGGCTGCCTTGTTGGCCCTACAGGGCTGGAGCGGGGGCAGGCCACGTGTTGCTCCTTGGCCCCCATGTCAGAGCCCACCCCTAGATGCCATGACTGCCATCAGGTGGTGGCTGCCAGCTGTCATGGGGAGGAGACCACAGAGCGGCCAGCTTGAACCCTGGGCCCCAGGGCCCTGCCACATCTGCGGCTGGTGGGTGTGTCCCCCATCATGGAGAACAGGCGAGTGGCTGTGCTCAGTCAGCACTCCCCCACCCCCCTTCTCAGTTGTTACCGATTTTAATAATGACTCATCTAAGAAGTAAATATACTTTAACTTGCTTTTCTTCTCCTAAGTGGGAACAACAGTTTTTCACGTGTTTTGTGATAATTTTTTTGTAATTTGGTTGTTCAAGTTTTTGTCTATTTTTACTAAACCTATATTTATTGATTATTTATGGCTTATTTGCTGACATGTAAGAGCTATTCATGTATTCAGAGAATCATCTTCCCTAGAGTAGTTGAGTGTTTTCCCCCTTACGTTGCTTCTCTTTTGATGTTGTTTATGGGTTTTGTTTTGTCTTTTTTTAACAATACAGAAGTATTTGTTGTAGGTTGATGTACCAGTCTTGCTTTTTTATGAGGTTTGTGTCATGCTTGGAAAGGTCTTTTCAAAATTGTAAGGAAATCTGTCCTATGTCTTCACTAATATTTTTAGTTAAATTTTTTATTCTTGAAGCTCTGGGCCATCTGGAACCTACTTTGGTGTAAGGAATGAGGTGAGACCCATGCCAGTGTTTTAGGGGCTGGCCACCAATGGCAGGCACTCTCTCTAAGAAACCACTTCCCGGCCCTGCTTCAGGGCCGTCCTGGGGCCTCTGCTCCCACGCTGTCATCGAGTGGTTAGTGGCTCTGCTTGGTATGACGTGGCAGTGTCTGGTGGGGCTGATCCCACAAGAGAACTTCTTTGGCCTGTGCATTTGTCGTATGAACTGAGTCTTATATCTAGACCCACTTCTGCTTCCCACTGGTACTTTGATGGCCTCATTGGGTGGGTAGAGTCTTCACAGTGGTTCTGATACCTGCCCTGAGTTGGGGACACAGTCACCCCAAGAGCCCCCAGGGTCCCAGGCATGCAAGTGTGGGCGTCTCCACCTCTCCGGAGATGTTGCTGCCTCTATGGGGTCTTTTTGTGGTGTTTCCAAATGCTTCTGTTTGGAAAGCACTTAATGTTTATACACTTCTTTTGTTCCCAGCAACCTGTCAGGGTCTCTTGTTTGTAATCATGTCCCTTGGGCCCTCTTGAGTGTCTAGTGGGTGCTCTGTCTCCTACAAGTGGGGTCTGTGGTGCTGCTCACGCCGTGGCCATGCCCGTGGCTTGCCCTGGGGAGTGTCCACGTGTGCCGCGTTGTGGAGGAGCTCTTTCTGAGCAGATGGTGAGTTTTCTCAACTGACACATCAGCCTCTTGATATAGTCATAAGATCTTCTGGTCATTAATGTGCTGAATCCGTGGGGATGAGTGCCAACACAGCCCCTCCTTGCACACATAGGAGGTCACGGTGGAGCCCAACAGAGTCCAGGCAGGTCCCATGGCTTGAAGCCCCCCCAGCCCCAGGCCCCAGCTGACTTCCAAGGGCTTCCTGTCGTATTGCTTGCTGTGGCTCACAGCACCAGCCTCATCTGCTCAGTTTGCAGCGGGACAGTTAGACAGCTGGGTGTAGAAAGGCTGGGGGCTGAAGCAGGGCCTGAGCCCGGGCTTGGCCCCCTCTCCCTGCCTGACCAGGCCTCTGTCAGTGCTGGGAGAAGTCCTGTCCCTGTGCAGATGATCCTGGGGCCTGGTCTCAGGGTTCACAGGCCCCTGCACCAGACTGAACCAGCCATGTGCCTGTGTGCGTGCTCACATGTTTACACTGCTTCCTATGTCAGAAGACCATTGATCCTCCTCTGAATGGTCAGGATCTGAGTTTTTGAATATTTAATGTCCTGACAAAGGAGTACTAAGGCCTCAGGGCTAGGGTGCCCTGCCCCACTCCCTATACCTGCATCCACCCCCTACCCAGGCTGGGGCAGCTTGGGCAGCTCCTGCAGGGCAGGGAGGAGCAGGGCCGCAGCTGGGGGGAGGGGGGGCAGGAGCTCTGAGGTGGCAGAGGCAGGTCCCAGCTTGTCCTCACAGCCCCCAGGGAGGAGAAAAGTGGGGCTTGGACAGCCTGGAGCTCAGGGCTGGGGAGCGGACTGCAGGCTGCAATGAGGGTCCTCCAGCACCTCATTTCCTGCCAGGCTGGCCCGTGGCCAGAGGCTTCCACCTAGAACTTGGGCATGCTCACCTAGTAGGGCTGCCATGCTTAGACAGTCCATGTGGTCTGGGCTGCTGGGGGCCTTTGGGCAGGGAGAGGAGGATCTGGGGGGCATAACCCCTGACAGCTTGAGGAGAGGATGCCCCAAGGAGGCATCGCTGGTGGCCCCTCATCTCATAGTCGGACTGCTTGGGGCGGCTGCAGGCATGGTGGTCCTGCTCACTGCTGAGGAACCAGCCAGTGCTGTGCCCCTCATGCCCCACTGCCCGAACACAGCTGCTTCCAGCCTGCATTGTGGCACATGTGGACACAGAACTGAGCTGCATGATGCAGGGGCGCTGGAGGCCGCTCCCTCTGTTTGGCTCTGTGTTGCTGCATGGCCACTGTGTGGTCACTTGTGGACTCCCAGGCTGTGGGAGGCAGCCGGGGGGATGCTGAGCACTCTGCTGTGTTGACCCACAGCGTCTTGTGCCTGAACCCTGGTAGCCTCCTGTCTGGGACGTCCCCCTCTCAGGGACAGTCAAAGGGGAGGTGCGGGCAGCACGCTCAGTGTCCACCTCTGAAGGTGGGGCCAAGGTGGGCCCAACAGATGCACTGCCCTCCTACCTGCTCACAGGCTCCTGGTCCTCGTCTCCCCAAGGTCCTTATGCGCCATCAGGAAAGACAGCAGGTGCCAAGGAAGCTGGGCTTCTGTGGCATTTACGGATCAGAGATGTTTACTGATGTTTACAGCCTTAGCAGAGTAGATGTAGTATGGACATAAACCCAGATTTGTAGAGGGAACAGAAGAAAAGCTGATTCATCAGAAAAAGTGAGGAAAGGAACAGCAAGGCACATGTGGGACAGGTGTCAGCAGGAGGCTATGGAGTCCCGCTGACATTAGTGTGGCACAGCCCACGGGGTAGGAACAGTGACATTTGGGGAGTGTGGGAGAGAGGCAGATGGGGGCCCACAGTCACTGTGGGAGAGCTGTAGGGAGCCGAGAGGTGTGTCCAGGGAGTGCTGGCCACACTGCTGGAGATGGCAATTCTCAGTGCTTGGAGCTGCAGAGCCCACCTTCTCCACCTGGCACAGGTGGGCTGCCCCAGTGGTAAGAGTCACATATCCCAGGGAGTATTCACACATAAAGTGGAGGGGTGGGTCCCTCACGTCCAGCCAGAAACAGCTGTGAGAACACGTGCCTGCCTCGGCTGGGCCTCACGCTTTCCTGGCCTATGGACAAGGCCTGGGCTGAGGTCACTGTGCTGTGCTTTCTTTCAGGTTGAGGCCCCTGGTGTCTACACAGCTGGCTAAGAAGGCTGCCGTGGGAGAGGTGTGTTGTCCTGCACAGCCAGGGGTGGAGGACCTTGGGAGCAGTTCACTTGTTCCCTGGCCCAGATATGACATCTGTGAACTGAGACTGGGCCTGACAGGGTGGGGTGCTGGCCTGGCATGGGCAGAGAATCCCGTGGCCTGAGGGGTGGCTGTGGTGGCAGCCCCCAAATTACTGGAGTGGATGGGAGATAAGGGCCGGTTGTATGCTTACTGCATGGGGGCCGAGGGTGAGCAGGCCCCTGCTGTAGACCTGGTGTGTCGGTCGCCCAGAGCACAGTCCATGGGACCGTCCCTCCCTGGGCCATGCAGAGAACCCCGGGCTGGGCATCGAGGGGCTTGCCAGGTTGCAGGGACCCACTGTAGGTGCCCAGGGCCTGGTGTGAGGCCTCCCTCCCTAGATGGCATCCGTGGCTCAAGGCCTGGCCTCCAGGCAAGGGCTCAGGTATCTTCCTCCTGGACTGTCACTTCTTATCAGGGCCCCGATGTGGCTCAGGAAACAGAAGGCACAGGCAGGGAGGATCCCTATGCAGCTGACAGTGCTGGCTTGGGGGTTTGGCTGGGCCTGTGCTGGGGGCCTGAGCACCAGCCTCTTTCCAGACTGCCATGCTGTTGGGGGCAGGGCCTTGGTGTTGCCAGGCCCTCTCCTTGAGCAAGGACCCCATGGTGCTGATGGCCCTCAGTGCTGAGCCCACAGCAGTTGGGTGCGTGCAGTGTGCAGGGGGTGGGGGAGAGGTGCAGGTCAGGGGCTGGTTGGGGCCAGAGAGCAGGCAGGCAAGGGACTCAGGACGCAGGAGTGCGGGCTGACCCTGTGAGCAGCTTGAGTCGGGGCAGGAGCGACCGAGGCCTGTTCAAGGCCAGCCTGGGGGAGTCTCCCTAGTGGTGGTCACTGTGCCAGAGCCTGACCCTCCTTCCAGGCCTTACTCCCGAGCACCCCTGCCCTCCCAGCTGGGCTCGTCAGGCCCGAGGCTGTCTTGGTGGAGAGTGGGCCTGTGTCATACCACCCTGACGAGGACGCAGATGAGGAGGACCCTGACGAGGAGGATGGAGAGCCCTGCGTCAGCGCCCTGCAGATGCTGGGTGGCAGCGGTGGGTGGACTCCATGTGGGGACTGGGCAGGGCGGGGGTGGGCTTCCAGAGAAATATAGGCACAAAACAGCTGCCCCTGAGAACCCCTGAACTCAGGTCTGTTGGCTTCAGACTAAATTTTTGTTTCTCCCTGGAAGAATATTTGATCTAAGAGACTTTGTAAATTGGCCACATTGGTTTTGAGACCCTTGAATGTGCTGGGAGGAGCTGGCCAAGGTCAGAGAGGATGGCTCCACAGGGCCCACGAGGGGCCACTGTGAAGGCCACAGGTTCTGGGCCTGCCTGACATGTGCAGGAAGGCTGCCCACCAGCAGAGAAGGGCTCTGGGTCACACACACGGACTCAGACCTGCACACCTCGGAGAGAGGCCCAGGTGACCATGCTGCTCACATGCGCCCTTGACGAGGAGCCACAGCCCTGCCCTGCGGTATGCATGTGCTGGGCCTGCCAGCCCCGAGGATGCGCACAGATGGGGAGACCTAGATGATGGTCCCTACCGGTGGAGCCTGTGTAGACGCGGCCTCCAGGACAGAGCAGCCATGGCCTGAGGGACTCCCGTGCATGTGCTGGGCCTGCCAGCCCCGAGGATGCGCACAGATGGGGAGACCTAGATGATGGTCCCCACCGGTGGAGCCTGTGTAGACGCGGCCTCCAGGACAGAGCAGCCATGGCCTGAGGGACTCCCAGGAAGGGGCAGGGAGCAGCATCCAGGCCCCTTGACTGTGCAGAGGTCCTTGGGCTTCCTTGATTGTCCTTTATGCTTTGCAGATTACGGCTGTGATGGTGATGATGATGATGGCTACTGAAGCTAACCTCAAGGCAGGCAGCGTCTTGGTGGCAACCCCATGTGCATCTCCCGCGGACTTGGGGCTGTGGCTCAGGGCGCAAGCCTGAGACTCAGTGACGAGCTGGCTGCTGCCCTTCTCGCTCTGTGGCCCTCGTCCCATGCCACACATGGCCTCTGTGGTGCTCACTGTTGGGATCATGCTCTGAGCAATGTAACGAATATTTCTACCCAGCAAGGGAGACTGGACTGAATGCATCTGTCTGCTCAGATGTGTGCCAGGGAACGCCCAGCTTGCTGGTCACTGACCACCCAAGAACCCTTGGAGGCAGGCACCATCATGTTCCTATTGTAAGGAAACTCAGGCATGGGCCCCGCGGCTTGTCCAAGTGACTGGATGGCTTACTGGGACCAGCCCTATGGCTCCAGGACCCTGCTCTTTTTTTTTTTAAAAAGATGACCGGTAAGGGGATCTTAACCCTTGACTTGGTGTTGTCAGCACCACGCTCAGTAAATTGGGTATGTTTTCTGAGTTGATATTTCTACAAAACAATAAGTGAAAGTATATTTTTCATCAGGATTCATTTTGTAAGAATGCTGTTTTATGGTACATAAACAAAAAGCAATAGCACATGACATGAAAGTTTTTTAGGATGAAATAATTTTCCTATTATTTCATTATTGAATTTCGGCCTTTCCAACTTGTAAGATCCCTAAAGCTTTACAAGGTTAAAATTCAATCACAATTTTTTTAAAAAGGCAGGATATTTCAGCTATGCAGAACAATGAATTCTGGAGATCTAAATTACAGCATGATGACCATAGTTAATATTGTACTGTATACTTGAAATTTGTTAAGTAGATCTTAAATGTTCTCACCACACCACAACAAATGGTAACAATGTGAGGGGATGGATATGTTAATTAGCTTTATTGTGTTAATCATTTCACAACGTATACATCTATCAAAACACCACATTGTATGACTTAAATTTTTGTTTGTCATGTATACCTCAATACAGTGGAAAAAATACATAAAAAATTAAAAATGAAAAAAAATGACTTTAGAAAAATTGATTACCGTAAAATGGAAGCCAGAGAATATTGCAGAGGTTTCCAAGAGAAAACATTAGAGAACTACCTCATCATAATTTTGTAATTTATGCATTTTTGATCATAATAAAATCATCCCAAACCTTGTTATGCAAAGAATAATAATAAAATAGGATCATGGCTAGGCGAATACATCATTTAGAAATCCTCTAAGTAGCTTGTTTTTTAAGAGAATATTATCAAGATGCTGAAAGTCATGTGAGCCATGGGCTGGCCCTCAGGACTCAGCTCTTGACCCTTTGGCCCGAGTGCCCTGTGCCCCTCTCTTCCACACCATTGTTCCCGCCAGAGCTTGGTGTTTGGGGGAGGTCATGGTGCTGGGCAGCAGGCACTTGGTGGGACCAGCTACTCTCCCATATTTGGTGGCCACTTGCTTCTAAAGCTGGCCCTCCACTCTAGCTGCAGGCCTTCAGCCAGAACCTGGCCTCCTCTGAGGTGTGCAGAGTCCCCACCACCTCCAGGACCCACTTGCTGCCACACAGTGTCTGGAGCAGCACAGGTACCAGCCTCCTGCTCAGGGCCCTGGTGACACGTGGGGTCTCAGAGCCCTGGAGGCTGCCAGATGTGGTTCTGAGTTGAGTCCTGCAGGGTGTCCTGGGCCCTGGCCCTGCCCCACTGCACGGAGGTCCAGAGCTGAGCCAGGGAGCCGTAGTCAGTGTCCAGGGTGGGAGGGCAGGCGGGGGCCCCCGAGTGCCCCTGCAGCCCAGGCCCTTTCACTGTAAGGCCTCATTGCCCTGGACATGGCTCCGGGAGGAGGGCCTGGCCCAGCCCCACCCTGTCTCTTTGTGGGCAGTGTCTGCAATGGCAGAGCCATGCTGCACTGCCCTCTTAGGCCCAGCCCTCAGCCTCCTGGTTGGTTGGGCTGGGTCCTTGTGGCTGTGTGCCTCTGGGCCTCTGCCTGGAGTGCCCTGTGGCCTGCCTAGATCCTGGGCTTCTAGAAGGCTGTGGGAGAAGAGTGGATCTAGTGAAACAGAAAGACCTGTCACTTAAGCAGAAATGGCTGTGGCTGTCGTCTGTGATTCCGTGTCTGGCTCCGTGGCCTGCCCTGTGTGTTGGACCACAGCAGTAATGCCTGGCCGTAATGGGCAGGCTGGAGATGCCGGCCTCCAAGCTCGGATCATGGGCCTATTGTGCCAGATGCGTCACTGAAAGTCCCTGCTGGGGCGTGTTCCTGCGTCATCAGTGACCTTTCCCCCAGGAAGTCCCTATGCCTGTTGGGAGGGCCTGACTGTCCCCAAGTCCTGGCTACCTGGGTTCAGGCAGAAGACCTGACTGTCTCAGGTCAAAAGCTGGGGCTGCAGCTACCCAGTGCGCACCATCCTGGCACTTGGCCATAGGGAGGAGACCCTGGAAGCCCAGGGGCTGCCCTGAGTGGGGAGAGGGGCCATGCTGTGGGGTCCTTAGGCCACCCCCAAACTGTGCTGTGTCTGCATGGGCGGGCGTGGGTGTACGTGGGGGGCAAGAGGATAGCAAAAAGTGGGTGTACAGGACAGAGCAGGCAGGGTTGCACACTGGGACCTGGGCAAGCATCCCAGCAGGGCAGTGGAGCAAATCCTCAGGCAGGCAGAGCAGGGGGCTGGAGGGAGGTGTGGGTGGGGCACAGGGCGGGGCATGTGGGCGGTTCCTAGCAGAGGAACCCTGAGGACAGCTGTACCTGCCCTGAGGGAGCAGATGGCTGCTAGGGGGTGGGGGTGAGGTTCTGGTAGAGATGGAAGAGGGAAGGTGAGTAGTATTCTGAGGGGAAAGTTGGTCAAATTTGCCGTTGGATCGTGTTTGTGGAGTGTGGAAAAGACCAGGATTCAGGGCCTCTCACAGAACAGGGGCAGGGATGTCCAGAGTTGGGCCTTGGTTGTGCTCAGTCTTCCAGGCTGTGGACTCTGGCGGGGGGTGAGGCAGCTGTCCCTGCACGAGACAAAGCTGCCTCATGGGTTTTCAGTACAGACAGCTCTGGCTGGACACTTCCTCATGGGGAGGCCAGGAAAGACGGGCTCCTGGGCAGAGCCTCGAGGGTGCAGGGCCACACCAGGCATGCAGGAAGAGCTTCACCGAGAGTGTAGGAAACTGCTGCTCCTGCAGACAGTGTGGTGGGGGAGGGGCGGCTCCAGCAGGAGATATTTAGGACCTGCCTGAAGGAGGAGAAGGGGAGGGGCAGAGGTGGGTGAGAGCCTAGGGCAAGGGTGGTTGGCAGGGCCCAGGCCCACACAGGTAAACTGAGGCCTGTCCCCACTTGTGCCTTGGGGACAACAGGGAGGGGTTATCAGCTGGAAACCAGAGTGGGGTGGGCCTGGAGGAGCCAGGGTGCTGGAGAGGATGGCACTGGTCTGAGGCTGGAGGTGACCAGCGTGAAGGAGGGGTCAGGCCCCAGGGTGGCTACAGAGTGGGGAGCACACAGCATTGGGTCCTGGAGCAATGGGACCTGTGCCACGTGGGCACAGGGGGCCAAGGGGGCCACTGGGCTGTGGCCAAACCCCCCTGTCTGGGCCACCACTGCCACGAGTGTGGGGCCCAAGGGAGCATTTGCATCTGAGCACCCCATCCCACAGGTGGTTTGTAGGCATATGTGTATGCCCACCATTCAACATAGGATCATTACAGCCTGCAGCAGGGCCTAGCCAGCAGTGACCCTCTGCCTTAGGTTTGATCTGAGTGTGCAGCAGCACCTTGGGCAGCCTTTGTCCTTGGCTCCTTCCTGGGCAGTCCCCAGACCAGGCCATGCTGCAGCCTCAGGGAAGGAGAGGTAGGGAGAATCTCCCCCATCCCCGCCCTTAGCTATATCCCACGTTCTCAACTCCGCCTGCCGGCTGTCCCCATGATACCACATTCCAGGCTGGGCCCCTGCGGGTTGCACACCTGAGCCTGAGCAAACAGGCATCCTACCTGTCCAGCCTCTGCTGCTGTCTGCCACATGGGGGAGGTGGGAGTGCCTGCCCAGAGCCCTCCAAGGGTCTTAGCAGTTGCTGAGCTTAGGAGCCTTCAGCTTGATGGCTGCCACCACCCTGTAGGTCCTGGGTTGCAGCCAAGGCAGGACTTGGCACAGCCAGCATGGTGCCCAGTGACCTTGGGAGCATCCAGGGTTTTGCCAGAGTGTGTGTCCATCTTGAGGTGCTGAGGGGAAGTGTTTCTGGGGTAGGTGTCCTCGCTGGGCCAGGGCACTGCACAGGGGCTGTTTGTTTGGAAGAGCTGGAATGATGGCAGGCCCAACTCCTCACCACGGAGCAGGAGGGCAGGCCAGGCCTGAGGCTGGGGGCCTGTTTGTCACTGCTCCCTCCTGAACTACTGCACTGGCAGGACTCTGGCCTGCTCTGAGTTCCTCCCTCCTGGTCCAGCAGTCTGCACCCAGCTGGCCTCCAGCTTTGCACCCCACTGGAGCATGGGTGAGAAGGGCCCCTTTGGGGTGGGGATCTTCTTTTGCCTTTTGTGGGGTTGTTGGAGGGTGGGGCGTAAGATCTGATCCTTCACCTCCTCTTGGCTCCTTGGCCATGCCCCTGGGGTCTCTGCCCAGTGACCTTGACACCTGCCCTGGAGAGCAAGTGAGACCTCATGCTGCAAGCACCCCCTGCACTTGCAGGAGCACCCCAGTTGCAGAGGTGGCATGCCTGCCCAGCCTGCTGGGGCTGCTCCTCCATAGGGGACAGATGAGGCTGGACGTTCTCCTCCCCACTGGCCGGAGCCTACGGGCTTGAGATTAAAATGGTTTGGGCCCAAGGTCTGTGGAGAGAGGCCAAGAGGGGCAACCTGGGGCCCTTCAGGGGTGGGGCCTTGGGGCAGGAGTCTGTGGGAGCGGCAGCCCCCAGCGCTGGCAATATGTCTCAGAGGCTGTCTGGACATCGTCCCCTAAAGCCAAGTCCTCCAGCTGCCAGCCCAGGGCCAGCCTTCTTTCCTGTGGCTCCCATGTCTTGGGGAACATCCCCCAGCAGGCAGGCTCTGGACTGCAGAACCTGAGCATCCTGCAAACCACAAGCCCCTCCTGGGGTCTCCCAGGTACAGAGGTGTCTCTGCGGCCTCAGGGATGGAACATCTGCACGGCCTGCCCACTCCCCACCCTGCATCTGGGGCTCTGCTGGGTTGGGGAGAAGCAGTGGGCACCCCAAGGGCTCTAGGAGGCCTCCTGGAGAGGGGGACGCAGGGTCAAGGCACCCCCATGCTCCACGGTGAGAAGAGCTGGGCCCTGGGAAGCTTCCACTGCAACATTTGAGGGTCAGGGATGCAGGAGGTTCTCTGAGAGTGTGTGGGCTGTCCCCAGGTGTGGCAGCAGTGATCCATCCTAGGCTGGGGTTGCATCTGGCAGTGGCCATGTGGTCTCTCTGCTAGGGGCACCCCCATCTATACCTTCCATAGTCCCTGTCCTTCCTGCCCACTCTCC